CCCCAGTTCTTTGGGGAAGTGACTGTCTGCCAATTCACCAGATGAAACTTTCTAGTTCCATCCGCCGCATCCCAAAGAAAATTCCTTTGAAGCCGCTCCAGTTTTTCTATGACGCTCACAGGAGCTTGCAGCAGGGACAAGTAATACGTGTGCATGGACGATAAGGTGCTTTTAATAAGCACTTCCTTACCGCCTTTTGATAAGTAGCGTTTCCGCCATCCTGCTAATCTTTTTTCAACCCTTTCGATTACCGGGTTCCAAACCTAAGTATCCTTGTGCAAAGCGCCCAAAGGGAGGCCCAAATAATTAGCGGGGAGAGAGCCCACCTTACATTTGAGAACGTGAGACAAAACATTAATGTTAGCAACGTCACCTACCGGAAAAATCACACACTTGTCAAGGTTGATCTTTAGGCCTGATACTATCTGGAACCACTGCAAGACATGTTTCAAGTAGGTTAGTTGCTCTATATCAGTGTGTCATCCGCAAAAAGTAAATAAGAGACTCTTCGTGCACTGGGTACCCCGATTGGAGCTGAGAATCCTCTCAAGAAACCTCCGCCCGCCGCGCGATCCATCATTTTACTCAAAGTGTCTATCACTAAAATGAATAGCATGGGTGATAGTGGGTCACCTTGCCTAAGACCCCTGGAGCTGCCAAAGAAACCACACGCGCTACCATTAACCATAACAGAAAATTTGACTGAGGAAATGCAGTACTTGATCCATACCCTCCATCTAGCCCCAAATCCCATTTGCATCATGATTAAATCCAAGAACTTCCAATTCACATGGTCGAAAGCCTTCTCAAGGTCCAACTTGCATAGTAAGCCGGGTTCTCTATTTTTCCTTCTGGAGTCTACCAATTCATTTACCACCAACTGCGTGCAGGATCTGCCTTCCTTCCACAAATGCATTCTGGGAGGACGACATTGTCACGTCAAGAACCCTCTTGAGCCTATTGGATAACACTTTAGAAATAATCTTGTAAACTCCCCACTAGGCTAATAGGCCTGTAGTCCGTGATAGAAGATGTACCCTCTTTCTTAGGCACAATGGTAATAAAAGAAGCATTGCATTAATTCCCCTTTAATGGTGTCCCAAAAAACCTGGAAAAAGGCCAAGGAAAAACCATAAGGCCCAGGGGCCTTATCACCAGTACAACTCGACACAGCCTCTTGCACCTCCTCCTCCTCGAAAGCCCTCTCTAGCCACTCACTGTCTCCCTCCCCCATATGGTTGAACTCT